CAGTGTTTACAATTTATCATTAAAATATGAATTATTAAAGATATTTGACTTCTAATGCACCATAACTGAGTAGAGCGAAGCAAAAACTGCCTTGACTTGCCCTCAAACAACGCTTTGTAACTCGAAATCTATTTGGAGTATCGATATCATTCTTTCACCGTAAGAGACAGCAGGCTTTGGTGAACAATCATGGAAATTTTCAGGTCTCTGTGGAAATCCAACAAAAAGTTATGACGAGAGAAAAAAGTGGTTCATTTCCACAGTTTGAAATCTGAAGAAATCTGAGCGAAGGACAAATTTCCTACCCTCAAACAAGTCCAACTCATTTCAGAACGGTAATAGGTGAGAAAGAAATTCTTGAATTGTGAGCGTCAGGAGTGTCTGAAGATATACGGGACAAGCCTCATGTCTTAACTTTGCTTCGTTAAGGAGATATGACGATTCGAATATGCCTCTCATTACAGAAATCCAGCGATGATTTTGAACAAGCTCTCCATTGACTTTATATGGAGAGTTTTCCGACATTGTGTTGGTCTGAGGAGATTTGCGAAAGTTCTATGAATACCACAACAATGATAGTGACATTTTCTGAAAGCCAGCAAAAATACCTACGTTTTGATGTATAATTTGTGGAAGTTGAGTGAAAATTGAGCAAGTAGCAAACAGTTGTTCGGACATGAAGAGAAGACTGCAAAAGCTTCAGTGGCACACTGGAAGCCAAGAGCATAGCAACCATAACAACGCATGTATTTTGTGAAAAATCACAATTTTGCAACTCAAAACTTTAAGAGGCATAAAAGTAAAACAGTAAAAGATTTGAAAAAGCTGAATCATACCTGAATAGCCCAATAATTTGTGAACATTTTAAAATTTGAATGGTTGTTCTAGGTGAAAGTATGAGGAAGTAGTTAAGTTTCAAAAACAAGCAAATTTTAGCAGAATTTTGGAAGTTTCCCATTCATTTCAATGGGACAAATTAAAGGAAAAAAGTGGAATATTTTAAAAAGTATAATAGTTAAAAATAGCAAAAGTCATAGCCGGAAAGAGCAAAAATAGCTGAATAGTTTAAAATTTGAACGGTGAAAATCGGCTGAAAATTGTGGAAGTAGTTCTACGGCGAAAAGTGTACGGAAGCAACTTGAAGAATAATAATAATAAAGATAAAGAATAAAGAGAAACAGGAACTCAATAGTGTGGATGCTTAAAGCATCCACACAATAATAAAGAATAAAGAGAAACAGGAACTCAATAGTGTGGATGCTTAAAGCATCCACACAATAAGTATAAAGAATAAAGAGAAACACGAACTCAATAGTGTGGATGCTTAAAGCATCCACACAATAAAGAATAAAGAGAAACAGGAACTCAATAGTGTGGATGCTTAAAGCATCCACACAATAATAAAGAATAAAGAGAAACAGGAACTCAATAGTGTGGATGCTTAAAGCATCCACACAATAAGTTGTGAGCGCTGCCCTGAAAGCTTACATATTATTTCTAAATCACTTCATGTAATGATAACAAGTCATCCTAGAGCAGTCTCACAGCTTTTATCTTCATAATCTTTCTGTTTTCATTTATATTATTAGAAACATGACTGCTGTCTTTTATCTGTGTGACTGTACAGCCTGTGTCAGACATGACCCCCACACAATGTCTGACGTTATCTTTAATACATGCAGCACAGCTGGAGCTGCAGACAGTTTCTCACTTCTGGTGATAATATATTTGATGTAGGTATTGTTGCTTGCTAGCTTGAAGCTTATCTACAAAAGTAATTCAATAAGGAGAGATCACGTGGAAAAACTCAACATGATTTATTGAGATACAGAAATAAATGTAACTGTTTGGCAGTTATGAGCCATCATAGCAGAAAGAATCCCAGCAGTGACAGGATGTTGCACAACCACCACCCCAGAGTCAACATGCTGATAGTAATGAAGATGAAGATGGAGGCTGGGACAGGGCTCTGAGTGACCACGGTGAGGAGGAGAAAGGAGAGGAGGCGGGCTGCATGGCTGCAGATCTGAAATGCAGAAGAGCAACCGATTTAAAGCATGCAGAGTGGAGGCTGGCAAGAGCATGACTGGAATAAAGCAACGATGTCAGTACTGAGTTTGTGCTGGAAATGAATAGACATAAACTAACAGCCACCAGGAAGCAGACAGATGATTTATCACAGACATGCCTTATTGAAATTATGTATAAGCTTCATGTTCTATGTCATCAGAATGTATCTGTATTATAGTTTTAGCTTTAGTCTTTGTATTAAAGTTGGATGTCTCCATAATTGTAGACTATATGTCTGCTATGTATCATCTCAAGACTGTGATGATACAGTTTAGTCTGAGTTATGCACTTTGTGACAGTATAGGTGCAGAAAAATTGCTCCACAGGCCATAACACTATATAATATAAATAAAATGATAATGAACTAAAAATTAAAAATAAATGTTATCCACAATAAGTAGATTGAAAATGGTGTTTAACTTTTGATAATGTAACACAACCTTTGTCCCAACCAGGACTCGAACCCGCGCTCAGACAGTTCAGTGTAAAAACAATCTTTTTTTTTTCCAATGCCTGAAAAGCTGCGATTTGATTGGCTGTTTCTCCATTACACCTATACGTGATGGGCCCCGCGGAGACAGGAAGTGTTTTTATGACTGAAACACTGAGGCTGTGTCCCAATTCAGGGTCTGCACGCTTGAAGTACACATTTTAAGTGTGATTACGTCACCGCCACGCGACGACGGCTGTCCCAATTTGAAGTGTACTTCAAATGCATACTCATATATACTCATATATATACATATATATATATATAAATATATATATGTGTGTATATATATTTATATATATATATATGTGTGTCCCCTGCTCTGCATCATTAGAACATTAACAGACCAACAAATATAAGTGTCCCAACCAGACAATGATTTGGAGACTATAGAGGACGTATTTAACTTAACTACAGTAAGGATACAGCCAGGATTTTAGTTTAAGAGGCCCTGTTATACATATATGGTACAGTACTGTTTCATATACGTAGGTCAGTGTATGTGCAGGTAATCCATGTAGCTCAGTTCCTTATACTTTTGACTCAGTACAGTGTCAACAGAGGGGATTCCCTTATAGAGTCGCCTCAGTTATTTCTGATGTTTTGGTCATTAAATTCCCCAAATGATACCAAGCACATGGAATCCACAGTCTTAGCATCCCACAGCGTCCCACAGCGTCCCACAGCATCCCACAGCGTCCCACAGCATCCCACAGCATCCCACAGCATCCCACAGCATCCCACAGCATCCCACAGCGTCCCACAGCATCCCACAGCGTCCCACAGCGTCCCACAGCATCCCACGGCATCCCACAGCATCCCACAGCATCCCACAGCATCCCACAGCATCCCACAGCATCCCACAGCGTCCCACAGCATCCCACAGCGTCCCACAGCATCCCACAGCGTCCCACAGCGTCCCACAGCATCCCACAGCGTCCCACAGCGTCCCACAGCAGTGTCAGGTGACTTTCAGTGAAGGTTATGACACAATGACAGTGTGATGATAACAAAGAGAAGCATGAGTCATTATCTCGTCATTACTTGGACTTTATTGTTGATTTTAGCACTTCACACTAGCATTAGCTGGTTTCCCTCCTTTGGAGTAAACTACCAATCAGACAGCACATCTGAGCTGCTGTCACACAGTCAGATACAGGAAAGCATGACAGCAACAACACGCTCAAAGCTGAACATCATTTGCATGTTAAGAATTTTACTGCAAGAAAGAAATAGTGCAAAGCTGACATAGTGAGTTTGCTTTATGTATGATAAGTCCTGTTGACAAATCCAGTGCATGAATGTGAATGACCTGTGAAATAAAGTGTGCGTGCCGTGTTCAGTCTGACGTGAAACATCAGAATCTCTGTCTTCATTTTACTGATTTCCTCTTTCATTGCCAGCATGTGTGCTCAGAGGCTTTCACAGTGCATTATAAGCACGTCGTGGCTTTGTGTCCCTCGCTCTGCATCATTAGAACATTAACAGACCAACAAATATAAGTTTGTCATACTTTATCGATGAAATCTGGGAGAATATAAATAACATCTGTAGCAGAAGCAGTGTGTCACTCTTGGTCTTGCAAGACAATTTTGCGTCCAGTTGTTATTCTTGAACAATGTGCACCAATCTCTTACAAAAGATGTGGTTTGCTATGGTTCTCTGACCCAACCTGGTTACTAAGTACTGAAAACGAGGAGACAACATTACAACAACGTGCCAAATAAGCTAGGTCCATCATGTGATCTGCCAAAGTTTAAGGCGTGGATTTTGGTACGACTTCTAAAGGTCTGTGTTTCCGCAACCAGACGTTGCTTCAGGCCGTCTACATCCTGTGGTTCTGAACTTCGGATGGACAATGGCAGCAGCCGTTTATCAGAAGCACCCAGACTGCTCTTGGCGATGGTCTGACTCAGTCCTCGGGCCACGAGCTCCCCTGTAAGCGTTGTTTGGTGTTTCCACCTGCACGTGTCCTTTGCTTCCAGCAAAATGATTGTGACAGCGGGGCATTCAGCATCCAGCAGATGTTATATCTGCAATATGCAGCCGCAGTTTTTCACAGTTACCTGCCTGCTATACCCAAGAGACGTGATGATTTATGGTGTCGGCCCTGTTATCACAGAATGGGCCACGTGACCAGTTAAAGTGGTGACAAACTGTTGGCTCTGTCGAAACGAAAAGTAGTTATTGGGGCTAAAAAAGCATTTACAGCCTATTAACCCGAGAACGCTATCGCTGGGTGATTTACACCGAGCAATACATTTACATGATTTCTCTCTCCTGCAGCTGTTTGCGTGTCGAGGAGCCTGTGCCTTCACCAGGGAAGTCTCAAATGTCCCAGGAATGGGTGGACCAAAGACCAGCTTTCCAGAGTCATTCTTTTGTTTTAAGAGGGTTTTTCTTTCATTTTGTTAGACATGGCACAGTTGAAAGTAAAGAAGACCACTCTAATTTGTCATGTGTTGTCATATTTTGATATATTTGATTACTTTTTATTGGTTATATTATATCGGGTAAAAATCACCCGGCATTAGCGATTGTGTTACTATTTATAGCGATAGTGTTCTAGGGTTAAACGTGCAAGAGAGCTGATGCAGTCTCCAGCGAGTCCATCATCAGCTGGGCTGATTCATGACCAGAACGTCCCAAGTGTGAAGTCAGTGAATCAGTGCTGGCCTGGTGCTGAACAACGTGAGGCTGAAGGGACTGTGGAGACATCAGCACATCACATTTTACATTGGTTTTATTATAATGTGCTTCTAGTAAGGACAAAAGCACAGACACCAACCTCCTGATCTGCGGAGCAGTGGTGGTAGAGGAACTTCGTCTCAGCGTCTTAGTAGAAGAAGGGGTGAGGTGGACTTTGGAGGGCTTCGGGGGAGGGAGGATGGAGCGGTGTGAAGTCTTGGACAGGTTTAACCTGACACAGAAAACAAGAACACCTCATATTTGTGTGTGTGTGTGATCCAAGAGCAAATAAAACTTGATCCTTCACAGAAACAAGCACAACGAACAACTTCTCCAAAATCCTTCTGATTTCTACGCTCACTGCAGGAATCAACATCTGCACTCACACTCTGTACAAGAGACGAGATACAAACACGCTTCGACGTGTGGGAGGTACCTGATTTAACCTCCGTGGAAGCCCAGCTCTTGGTTGTGTCAGGTTAGCAGTTTGGTGATGTTAGTTTACAGGAGAAGCCGGAGGCACGTCGTGAGTTTGGTTCGTGGTCGTCCTTTGGTTTCTTTTTGCCGCAGCTCTCATATCCCCGATTTGTAACTATTTACTTTTTATAAGATGTTTCTTGAACTATGGCAGCTTCTTATATATCTGCTATATTTGTGCCGTGGATTCAGGGACCCAAACAAAAACTGTAGTGAGCAGAGGTATTATCTACTGATTGTGTGTCTGGCTGCAGCCAAGGATGGAGAGCAGAGGCAGCGGGCAGGCCAATCGAAACGCAGCTCAGGCCGCGGCTGCAGCAAAAACTTGGGCGTAGGAGGAGCGATTCTGGCAAAGCGTCAGGAGGGGAAGTGGTGCTCCACCAACACGGTGTACAGTAAAGATGGAGGCCTGCTGGCTCCAGCTGAGGACACCGTCAGGCAGTAGAAGGAATACTCTGACAACCTCCAGAACCTTAATCTCACTCATAACTAAAGTCGCCAAAAGACAACAACTTCTCCTGTTGCATTTAGGTTTCAGTTTAACCGAAGAACAAAGAAGGACACATGAGCTCGAGCAGGTTACACACAACATTCACGCTGCACAGATGAGAACACAGCAGGATTTCATGCAGTCCGGTCTGCCTGTTAGACAGCGTGCAAACAAAGCGTGCGTTCTTTGTAGCATTCGACAACAGTCACTTACGTACTTTCTGACATCCACAAAAACATATTGGTGTCTATTATCTCTCCTTGTAATAGAAACTTTGTTTCCAGCGTTTGAGCTAATTCTCTACGTGTCTCTTGCACTGACCACAATAACCATCTATCATTAATTACATTACAGATGTTGGTACCTTGAGCAGGATGACGCTGATCTCGGTGGGCGTTTTCCCTTCAGTGCTCTCAGTTCGTCTCCCTGTGTCAGACTGACTTCTTTGCAGTTATTCTGCACAGACACAATTAGCAGCATGAAAACACAACATTGTGATCGGAACTCAGTAGCCTGTTTGAATTCTGCAGTAACCATTAAGAAAAGGTGCTATGAAGTCACACCGCTGACCTCATCCAAGCTATATGACTTGCAGAGCACGGTGTTGATTGACAGGTCATCCATGCTGGAAAGCAGCGAGGACACTGCCTCCTGTTTGCCTCCCTGCACAGAGTCAGAGCGGTGCAGCTGCAGCTGCTGCTGCAGCTGCTGCTGCCGACTCAGTCTCTGTTGGACCAGCTTCTGTTTAGACCGATGCACGTCACCCTGAACCCACAAACTGTGCTGCTTCCTGCACACAAACATCAAACACACGCCACAAACTGACTGTGATATCACGTTTAGCAGGTACAACATTCAACATCCTGGTTTAGCGTGTAAGTAGACACACAAAGCTAGTAGCCATTAGCAACAGAGCGCTACTGTGGCGTAAGGAGGAAGTGTGCGTCCAGAGCTGAGGAGAGAAACCAGCTGCACACTGTGACTGCAGTCTGCAGCAGTATCACAGTTTCAGGCTTTTTTTTAAATTCGATTCGATTCATCATCCACCAGTTTCCCACTGCTGCAGTCACCACCAGCTGCACATGGGCACCCTGGGGAATGCCCCACCCTGACCTCCACCTTTTGCTTCTCTTCTAACATTTCCAGCATGCTCCAACCATGACCTCAGCATGGAGAAACATCCTGTGTGCTAACAGCAATAGATGCCACAGCCTAAGGACAGACGGGCCTTGTTTGTCCAGCACATCTCACAGATGCTCGATGAGACTGAGATCTGCCGACGTTGAAGGCCAAGGTGACCCCTCAAACCCTTCCTGATCTACTTGTGCTTTGTGTGAAGACTCCAGCGACACTCGAAGTATTAGAGAACAGCTGTACTCAGTGGCCAACGCCTTTTGGGTCATTGCAAAATGTCAAACAGCTTGTGTTTAAATAAAAAAGACTGGAAACAGAAAAAGATCCAAGTGGACCAATCACACCTTCACAAACGCAATGACCCTGATGAAGGCCACTAACGCGTTATGGTTCCCTGATACTCTGTGACTGGAGTCTTCACCTCGTCAGATCTTTGTCTTCTCCGTGCACCTTGGAGGTGAAGCTGCCGTCTGCTTGTGTTTTGTGACATTATCCTAATGAAGTGTTGCAGACGTGTCTGTGTGCACAGCATTACTCCTGTACTTTCATGAACGGACTACAGCTTAATGATTGTCTCCGACCGAGACCTTTGGAGTCACGGAAAGTGGGCCGTTTGGTTTGAGCGGTCACAGCTGAGGCACAAACTCACTCTTCTAAGAAGTTTTGCTGTGGACCGATGATAGATCCAGGTCTGCAGACTCTGATCCAAGCAATCGCCTCGGCTGCAGTAAACCGGAAGTGCTTCATCAGGTAGCAGCCAATCAGAGTGCCCGTGCGGCCTAATCCAGCTGTAAATGGATGGAGTGTTTAAAGAGACAAAGTTAAGATAAAAGAAATAAATGACATCAATTAAACATAAAGACTTGCAGTCCTACCTTTACAGTGCACCGCCACTGCCCCGTCTGTACTTTCACACACATGCAGAAAGCGTCTGACGATGAGGTCAGAGGGCGTGGTCCCATCAAGGAAGAAGAGGTCGTGGTGCTCAAATCCTGCATCCTCAAACCGCCTGCCATCATACAACGTCCTGTTCAGACGAACCACGGTCGTTATGTCATTTTGGCAAAAGTATGAGAAGTATGCCTCGGGTGTGTGGAGGGGATAACCTGGAGACAGAGTCAACAACAGCTGAGTTACGTCATACGTTTCAATCAGCGAGCGTCTGTTTTTAATGCGAACGTAAAATAAGATTCAATGACGTAGTGTCAGCTGATTTATGTTGTAAGGTAAAGACGTTAAATACAGAGAAAACCCAACGATCGGACGGCCCCAAGCACCTGCTGACAGCGGGAAAGAAAAACTCCCTTTTAACAAGAACCAGGCTGAGGGAGGGGGCGCAATCTGGCTCATGTGGTCGGGGTGGGGGGAGGACAACAGGACAAGAGATGGACGAGAGCCAGAGGGGAATAATAACTACGTGCAAAGTGGTGTAAATACACAGCAAGTAAAAAGAGCTGAGGGATGGAGAAGCATGAGTGCATCATGGGAAACCCCGAGCCACTGCAGGGTTCAGGCTCGTCTAATCCAGCCGTAACAACACGACAGCACTAAGCAGGAAACAATGCACGCCGTCAGAAGACAGCAGGGTTAGGTTAGCTCTTCTCAGCTGCTTCAGGACGTGCAGGCACTGAGGGGCTGCACAGGCCTTCTGTCAGCCCAGCAACGTGAGCACTGGTGTTGGTTTGGAGGCATGCTTTTAGCTTTTAGCTTAGAGATTCTGACTCACCACGAGAATGAGGGCTACTGAACGCCAGAACTTTGCCCGGAACGATCCAGTTCATATCTCCATTTTCAACTCGCTAAAAGCACAAAAAGAAAGGAAAGACTGTGATAGAGGTTAGCCACATATCAGTTAAAACATGGATCCAGAACACCTTAATTATACCACCACTGCAGTAATGAACACGTACGGGCTTTTACCTTTCATTGGAAATCAGTTTTGTTGACCTTTACTTCACTGACTGTCTATCACTTGGACGGGTGAGCTATGGATCAATCTAACTGAGAAACTGAGGAAGTACAGCGTGCACCAAGGCAGGCCTGGACATCGTACGAGCTCTTGGTTGGCCCTGACTGTGTTACTAACAGCACTGCAAATAAACTGGATGAATAACAAGCGTACGTTAGTTATTTCTTCCTGTATCCTGGTCCTGTTTGCATTGATATCGACCTGTAGCACAGTCTCTGCAGTCTGTTACCTCATAATGTTCATATTCTTCTGCACTGAACATTTCAAAATCCAGGAAACCATGTTGTAATGCCTGCAGAGGAAAAGAGCAGGAACAGATTTTCACAACAAAAGCACAACTCCCCCCAAAGGGCTGAAATGTTTAGTGTTATAGTGATCTGCAGTGGTTTCACAGATTCAGTTCAGTTTTTCTTAGCACCAAATCACAACAACGGTCACCTCAGGCAGTTAATATTGTATGTAAAGACCCTACAGAGGAAACACAATCAGACCACGAGCAGGCACACTGGTGACAGTGGGGAGGAAACACTCGTTTTAACAGAAACACATGTTCACCAGAACCAGGCTCAGGGAGGGGCGGCAATCTGACTGACTGCTGAAGGCTTTTCAGGGAGTTTTTAGGACTTCCTGATAATAATGAATTACAGT